CATCCTTGCCAGGGTTTTATTACACCATGAGCCCCATCCCCTGCCCTCGAGCGCCTCAGAATCCTGGACAAGCATATGTATGTGCCTGGTGTATTTTCAGGTCAGCCAAAAGATCTAAACCCATAGTTGAGCGTATGGTTTCCAACACTGTGGATCAACTTGCTACCAACTGTGCTACCAGGCTGGGCTTGTGAACTTTTTAGCTGCTTTTTTTTTTTTTTAATTATTTATTTAGGGAATGGGAGGTGGCGTGGTGGTTAAGGGCTCAGACTCTTACATGGCAGACCATGGTTCGAGTCCTGGACCTGGCTTGCTTTCTCACTATCTCCCTCCCCGCCCCCTGACCCCGCTCTGTCCCTGTCTGGTAAAATTTAAATAAATAAATAAATAAATAAATAAAGTTAAGTGAAACAATTCTTAAAAAATAACTTATTTATTTAGTTTAATTTATCATCATCATCATTATTATTATTTCATTTGATATAATGGGATATACTTTGTAAATAAAGAGAGAGAGAGGCAAAGTGAGAAATCAAACTGCCAGGTCCAGGACTTAACCCATGGTCAGCTAGGTGTGAGACAGCACCTTAATCACCATGCCACCTGCTGGCACCATGAACCGTTTAGGTTTGAGTTTTTTTGTTATTTCGATGATTTATGAATTTCCTTTCATTGCATTCAAACAAATTCAGCTACAAATATAAATAAATGTGTGTGTTCTGTCACTCAGACGTATTGACCCAAAATCCCAGTGCAATTTACTCTAGGGAAACAGAGGAAAAATGAACAAACGAAATCTGCAATGTTTCAGATAGATACTATTACCTACCCACATGACATTTTTCAATCTTTGTGTAACCTGGCTGACCTTACTTTCTAATTTTTATATTCTTCTTTTATTTCTATCCTTGGTTAAAATAAAATAGATTATTCCAAAAAGAAGACAAGGCCTTTTATGGTTGCTCAGACTAATTTAGAAACCACCCATTCTATGATTTTTTTTTTCTAGTGCTTTTCCCTTTGTTTTTACTATCCTCTTAGCTAATTGATGATGTTGAGGTTAAAATACTGCAGCTCCTGCTATAATTCCTCATAACATTTTTCTGGTTACAGTCTTCATTGAGATTTCTGTATTTTTAAAAAATAAATCATACCTATGTGTGTGTGTAAGATTCTGGTGTCATTTTAGACGGCCATTCTCATGCTAAAAATAACCACAATACTATGAAAAGGGGAAGCAGAAAAAAAGCATAATTCCAACACAGTTATATTTTAGTGTGTCAGTGTGTATTTCACATTTCAAAATTGCTGACAGTAAAATTTTAATGTCCCACCACAAAAAAGGATAACATTTGAAGTGATGGATATGTTCGTTAGCTTGGTTAGTTATTCTACACTGTATTAATAAGTCATAATATCATGATTTTGTACCCCATAAATATATGTATTTATAAATTATAAATTTGTATGAATAAAAAAAGGAAAATAGATGCTCTCAGAGCATCTGTGAAATAACCTAAAATGTCTAATGAGAAAACAATCTGAAACACATGCCCCTATGTGTGTATCAGTGGTAACATAAACATACAAAGAACGTAATTATTTCAAGTGACTTTCAGCTAACTTAGGTAATTGTGTATCCTTATGGGATATACTTTGTAAATAAAGAGAACCTCAGGATCAGCAGATGGTGTAATAGTTATGTCGCTAGACTCCCATGCAGTTGACTGAGGTTCCAGTCCCAGACCTGGTGACTTAAAACACACTGGGCACATGTTTATGCATGCCCAAAATCCCAAGAGGAGAATAGAGAAGAAGGGATTGTGGCATGGCTATCCCCCCTGGGGAGTGATTGCTCACTGTCTGTCTCTCTGCATCTCTCTGGCGAGCATACACACCCTATAGCAAAAATCTCTCTAACAGAAAATAAAAAATAAAATTAATCAATAAATAAAGAGAACCTCAAGATTCTTAAGCTTGCAAGGTTGTTTTATTATGGCACTATGTTAATCATTATATTGGGACTTTCTGTATATTATAATGTAAAGCAAGTAAGGATATATGCTAATGCTACAAGAAGCAAAATTTTCAGAAGAAAACAGATACAAATATAAAATAATTAAAACATTATTAAATCGTTAAAGATTATTAATCATTGTAATATGATTCATATATTGTCAGTATATATGAAAAAGCTTTGTTTTTAGGAGACATGTGTCAAAGTATTATTGAGTGAAATGTCATGGTGTCATTTTCAAATGATTTAGCAAAAATATATAGACGATGGATAAGGCATATGTAGCAAAAAGTTAAAATTAAGATAGTTGTAAGGGTTATTTTGTTTCATTATTTGTTTCATCTTACAAACAATGCTGAAATAAGTATCTTACTGTAGCCATCCGTATGCAAGAGGGTCCTTTAAAAGTTCATGGAAAATGCATATTCTGAAAAAAGCATGCATATTTTTTATTTTTTTGCACCAAAATAATCTGGTACTTTAATTAAATTTTTCTGAAAACTTTTGAAGTACATTGATGCTTTTATTTCCACAGACCAGATTCACAAAAGTATAGTTCTTGAGTCAAAAGTTATGCACATTTTTCTTCTTATAGCTATTATGAGGATGTTGTCCAATGTTTGAAAATATCAGTTTCCCATCAGATATAATAGCTCCTTTAAATACTTTTTTTTTTTATCAAATTCATGTCTCTTTAAAAAGGTTCCATTTGGGACCAGCAGATATTCTCAAATTGCTAATTGTGTCCAGAAATGAGGTCAGTGCAGAGGGGCAGACGCCCAAATGATGAACTTCCCCCTGGATGGGCCAGGGCTTAGAGCAAGCTCCAGAGACTATACTGAAAGCTGCAGATGGTGTGTGTGTGTGTCTGTGTGTCTGTGTGTGTGTGTGCGTGCGTGCGTGCGTGTGTGTGTGTGTGTGTGTGTGTGGGGGAGGGAGAGTTACAGCCAAAATCAAGACAAAAATCAGAATCGGGGCTCAGGATAGAAGCCAGATAGGGAGATAACAGAGTGGCCAAGGCAGACCTACCACAGGGGCATCATCCCAGAGCTGCTGAGAGAAAGCAGCACCTGGGGCCACAATCAGACCTCCTGAATCAGAATCAAGATCAGAATTACAGGCCTGTCCATGGTATGAGGCTGTAGTGCACCACTGCCTGAAATGGGAGCCACATAGGAGGCCCCGTTCAGATCCCAACTCACCTTCAACACACCAGACTGGCCTGTGATCCTGGCTTCGGAAAGGATCACAGCATAGCCAGGGAGACCTGTCTCTAAGAAGAAAGGAAGGAGGGAAAAAGAAAAAGAACAAGATTTCAGATGATTTGCATGCACCTTTAAAATTTGAGACTCACGGAAAGAAATTAGTTATAGGTTTAAGAACATGGCTTTGGGACCAGCAGTCAGTGTAATGGTTATGTCACTGGACTCCCATGTAGTCAACTGCGGTTCGAATCCTGGACCTGGTGGCTTAAATTCACACCGGGCATGTGTGCGTGCGTGCCCAATATCCCGAGAGGAGAATGGAGGAGAAGGGATTGTGGTATGGCCATCCTCCCTTGGAGGTGATTTCTCGCTTTCTGTCCCTCTGTCTCTCTCTGTCTCTCTGGTGAGCGCATGCACCCTATAGCAAAAACTATTACAAATAAAAAAGGAACATGGCTTTAAAAAGGTTGAGTCAAGGCTTGTGAGGGGGAAATAAAACGCTTGGTCTCACATGCTCTCTAGGATGATGCTCCCTGCTTCCCATTCAATAGTGGAGAGATGTTTATTTTAAATTCCAGGTTTTTAGCTGGGCTCAGCACAGCAGAGCTCCCACCAGGCCATTCTCCCTGTGATCTCCAGCCTTTCCCCAATTCTACTGAAGAATCTCCGCTTTGACAAAGGTTTTATGACTAGGGCATCTATGGATGTCTTCAGTTAAAGAAAGGTTTTCATGACTTTAAAAAATCTGAAAAATTTTCCAGTGCATAAAATAGGGACCATCAAATGGTGTAATGGTTACGTTGTAAGACTCTTACGTAGCCAATCATGGTTCGAGTCCTGGACCTGGTGTCTTAAAACTCACACCAGGCACATGTGCTCACGTGCTCAAAACTCCCAAGAATTGAGGAGAAGGGATTGCACGTGGCCATTCCCCCTGGGGAGGAGGTGATTTCTCACTTTCTGTCTGTTTCTATCTCTTTGCTGAGCACACATGCCCTATAGCAAAATCTCTCTCTCAAAAAAAAAAAAAAAGATTTAAAAGGTAGATGAAGCACTTTACAAGGCAAATAAAAATTAGAATGAGAAATGACTCAAATGAAGAGGCGATTAAAGAAGTCAGAATAAAAGTTAAAGCTGAGGACATGGTGGTCACTTTGTAAAATTGCATGGAGCTCTTTAGAAGTATCCAATCTTAGCCTCCCAGGCCCTGGCCAAATTCACACTCCATGAAGCTGACTCCTCACTCCTCTGTCTACTCCAGCCATCTTAGTTCCCTCCAACCCAACCCATGGCTGACCTCGATACTCAGCTCTCAAGAGTTTCCAGCCCCTACGTATAAGAACTTCACAGCATTATATATTACTTGTGTAAACTTTTTCAAGTGTGTGTGATTGTAGATATATGGAGGGACTTCAGAGAGTTCATGGAGAAATAGAATTAAATTACCAATGCGTTTTGATATACAAAACCTTTGAAACGAATGCATCTTGTTTTCACAATATGAATTTTCCATAAAGTTCTTAGAGGTGCTCCCTATTTATTTTATTCCATATCTTTAGCCGCATTATGCCACACATAACCTAAAGTTGACTTCCAGCTATGGGTAAGTGGTGTGTCCAACCAAACTCTATTTTATATCTTCTTTATAGGTGACTAGTGAAAATTAAATTAATTTTTTCATTCTTCCTCTTCATATATCTCTTTCAAAGACTCTCTATGTGCGAGAGTATGGAAATCTATATGACCTCAAATTAATCTTATCTCTTGGTGTCTCCCAGCTGCAGATGGAGCTGGAACAAGAATACCAAGACAAGTTCAAAAGACTGCCCCTCGAGATTTTGGAGTTTGTGCAGGAAGCGATGAAAGGGAAGATCAGTGAAGACAGCAATCATGGTTCTGCTCCTCCCTCTCTGGCCATGGACCCTGGAAAAGTGAACCATAAGCCTCTTGCCAGTGAGGAGCCTGAAGGAGACAACCCGGGAAAAGAGTTTGACACTCCTCTGTAATTGTTCCCACCAGGCCTTCAGAACATGCATGGCCACTCAAGTTCCATCGGACTCTCTCTTACTACAAAGATCACTGCCCAGGACCATCTTCCTGAGAAGCATTCCTTAGCCTAAAATCCACACCAGAGAGAGAGTTCCAGAAGGATCCATGCAGAGGTGGTCCCATGCCCAGGTTCTATGTGTCATGGGAAACTACTGCAGGTCTACTAGTGAAGAGTGCATGTATGTGGGATTTTTGTTTTCTTTCCAATAGTAAATTTAAAGCAGGCAACTCCCAAGCTCCATGGAACATTTAATGAAGGACAGTGTCTTCTTTGAAGAAAATTGAGCTCATGTTTTTATTTGAAGCTCTGGTATAAAGTATTACAAAGAAATAGAAATAGTTTGAGAACTGCATAGCACTATTTAACACTATGGAACAACCAACTTTGAGCATTTTTTTTTTCTACTGCCCCTCAGCTATCACATCTTCCAGCTAATGTGCATATTAAATTGTTTCATCCTTTGCTTTGCAAGCACCGGTGGCTTGCTGTTTGCTAATTTATGTATCAAAGAAGCCTCATTGTATTGGTTGCTGACATGGCTTTATTAGAAACCCACCTTAGTAATCCAAATAAGCTGGTTTTCTTTTCTGAGAAAAAAACAAATTACATGTGTGTGTGTCACGTGATTGTATCTTTGCCCAGTGAAGCCATCCCAAGACTTAGCAATATGGATTGTATATTTGACTGCATGAGCAAGTTGGCTATGCACTTCCAAGCAGTGTGCTATCTGAATTGACTCTTTGTACTCAAAGTCTGAGTATTCATTTGTTGTTGACATGAAATGATCAAATAACTACAAAGAGTGTGTTCTGTTGAATAGAAATAGTTGAGTTGGTGTATATTAAGCAGAAATTCAATCAGAGTAAATAGGTTCTGGTGGTTATTTTGCTGTCTGACATTTTTTATGGTTCATTTATTTTTAATATTGAGAGGAAAATTGACTATTTATCTAGAGAATACACAGACCCATGTACAAATGATATATATTATCTCCAGGTATATATGTATGCACTCAGGCGTTTAAGTGCATACACACTACGTACACACGCACAGACTTGCAAAGTGTCGTTGTGTGTTTATTCATTGGCAGTGACCCAAATCTCTTCCACTAGACTTAAAGCCAAATTCAGGGACTAAATGGATAGAGAAGAAAAGGGTCAAACATCTAGATTACCGGGATATTAAATTATATGGAAATACTAAGAAATAATTGATGGAGCTATTTGTGCAAATTGAGATATATTTAGAACTTAGAATATTAATTTGATTTATATTTTGCAGGATCAAACATTAGATTTTAAGTATTGGATTTAAATTCAGATTTTAAGCTTGTTTTAATGATCAGAAAATACCAGAATGTATAGGACAGCAATATGGAAATGTATTCGTTTCCATCATAATTTGTAAGTCTGACAGATTTCAGTTTTATTCTAATGAAAAACTTTCATTATATATTTACTATGTATATTTAATTAACTGTGTTATTTTAAGTTCCTATTTTAGGTGATATATGAGAAACTTTATATTATGGTAAAACTGATCCAAAACATTATTGAAAGGTCCTAAATAAGAAAGTGCTATTACAAAGAAGAAATATAATTTAGAAAGGAAAATAAAGATAATTGAAATTAAAGCTCAGAAGCAAGAGGCTCACAGCTTTATTTTACTTTAAAATAATCCTGTCTGATTGTAGCTTAGCAAAACATTTTGAAACACGAATTCTTGCTGTGTCCTGAAAATTGTGTTTCGAGAATTAAATATTTTTATGGAAATGATTTTATTTAACTTTAAGCAATAACTAGGGATCACAATTAAGTTTTAATCCAAATGAAGGCTTGGTTCAAACATTAGGGAAGAATGTTTGATTAAAAAAACACAGCTAGTGAGACACGAGGGGAAAATCACATCCTTTTTGGAGATTAGTATATTTTGATCTGAAGGATTTGGGGTGTTTAAAAATCTGAAAAATTTTCCAGTGCATAAAATAGGGACCATCAAATGGTGTAATGGTTACGTTGTAAGACTCTTACGTAGCCAATCATGGTTCGAGTCCTGGACCTGGTGTCTTAAAACTCACACCAGGCACATGTGCTCACGTGCTCAAAACTCCCAAGAATTGAGGAGAAGGGATTGCACGTGGCCATTCCCCCTGGGGAGGAGGTGATTTCTCACTTTCTGTCTGTTTCTATCTCTTTGCTGAGCACACATGCCCTATAGCAAAATCTCTCTCTCAAAAAAAAAAAAAAAGATTTAAAAGGTAGATGAAGCACTTTACAAGGCAAATAAAAATTAGAATGAGAAATGACTCAAATGAAGAGGCGATTAAAGAAGTCAGAATAAAAGTTAAAGCTGAGGACATGGTGGTCACTTTGTAAAATTGCATGGAGCTCTTTAGAAGTATCCAATCTTAGCCTCCCAGGCCCTGGCCAAATTCACACTCCATGAAGCTGACTCCTCACTCCTCTGTCTACTCCAGCCATCTTAGTTCCCTCCAACCCAACCCATGGCTGACCTCGATACTCAGCTCTCAAGAGTTTCCAGCCCCTACGTATAAGAACTTCACAGCATTATATATTACTTGTGTAAACTTTTTCAAGTGTGTGTGATTGTAGATATATGGAGGGACTTCAGAGAGTTCATGGAGAAATAGAATTAAATTACCAATGCGTTTTGATATACAAAACCTTTGAAACGAATGCATCTTGTTTTCACAATATGAATTTTCCATAAAGTTCTTAGAGGTGCTCCCTATTTATTTTATTCCATATCTTTAGCCGCATTATGCCACACATAACCTAAAGTTGACTTCCAGCTATGGGTAAGTGGTGTGTCCAACCAAACTCTATTTTATATCTTCTTTATAGGTGACTAGTGAAAATTAAATTAATTTTTTCATTCTTCCTCTTCATATATCTCTTTCAAAGACTCTCTATGTGCGAGAGTATGGAAATCTATATGACCTCAAATTAATCTTATCTCTTGGTGTCTCCCAGCTGCAGATGGAGCTGGAACAAGAATACCAAGACAAGTTCAAAAGACTGCCCCTCGAGATTTTGGAGTTTGTGCAGGAAGCGATGAAAGGGAAGATCAGTGAAGACAGCAATCATGGTTCTGCTCCTCCCTCTCTGGCCATGGACCCTGGAAAAGTGAACCATAAGCCTCTTGCCAGTGAGGAGCCTGAAGGAGACAACCCGGGAAAAGAGTTTGACACTCCTCTGTAATTGTTCCCACCAGGCCTTCAGAACATGCATGGCCACTCAAGTTCCATCGGACTCTCTCTTACTACAAAGATCACTGCCCAGGACCATCTTCCTGAGAAGCATTCCTTAGCCTAAAATCCACACCAGAGAGAGAGTTCCAGAAGGATCCATGCAGAGGTGGTCCCATGCCCAGGTTCTATGTGTCATGGGAAACTACTGCAGGTCTACTAGTGAAGAGTGCATGTATGTGGGATTTTTGTTTTCTTTCCAATAGTAAATTTAAAGCAGGCAACTCCCAAGCTCCATGGAACATTTAATGAAGGACAGTGTCTTCTTTGAAGAAAATTGAGCTCATGTTTTTATTTGAAGCTCTGGTATAAAGTATTACAAAGAAATAGAAATAGTTTGAGAACTGCATAGCACTATTTAACACTATGGAACAACCAACTTTGAGCATTTTTTTTTTCTACTGCCCCTCAGCTATCACATCTTCCAGCTAATGTGCATATTAAATTGTTTCATCCTTTGCTTTGCAAGCACCGGTGGCTTGCTGTTTGCTAATTTATGTATCAAAGAAGCCTCATTGTATTGGTTGCTGACATGGCTTTATTAGAAACCCACCTTAGTAATCCAAATAAGCTGGTTTTCTTTTCTGAGAAAAAAACAAATTACATGTGTGTGTGTCACGTGATTGTATCTTTGCCCAGTGAAGCCATCCCAAGACTTAGCAATATGGATTGTATATTTGACTGCATGAGCAAGTTGGCTATGCACTTCCAAGCAGTGTGCTATCTGAATTGACTCTTTGTACTCAAAGTCTGAGTATTCATTTGTTGTTGACATGAAATGATCAAATAACTACAAAGAGTGTGTTCTGTTGAATAGAAATAGTTGAGTTGGTGTATATTAAGCAGAAATTCAATCAGAGTAAATAGGTTCTGGTGGTTATTTTGCTGTCTGACATTTTTTATGGTTCATTTATTTTTAATATTGAGAGGAAAATTGACTATTTATCTAGAGAATACACAGACCCATGTACAAATGATATATATTATCTCCAGGTATATATGTATGCACTCAGGCGTTTAAGTGCATACACACTACGTACACACGCACAGACTTGCAAAGTGTCGTTGTGTGTTTATTCATTGGCAGTGACCCAAATCTCTTCCACTAGACTTAAAGCCAAATTCAGGGACTAAATGGATAGAGAAGAAAAGGGTCAAACATCTAGATTACCGGGATATTAAATTATATGGAAATACTAAGAAATAATTGATGGAGCTATTTGTGCAAATTGAGATATATTTAGAACTTAGAATATTAATTTGATTTATATTTTGCAGGATCAAACATTAGATTTTAAGTATTGGATTTAAATTCAGATTTTAAGCTTGTTTTAATGATCAGAAAATACCAGAATGTATAGGACAGCAATATGGAAATGTATTCGTTTCCATCATAATTTGTAAGTCTGACAGATTTCAGTTTTATTCTAATGAAAAACTTTCATTATATATTTACTATGTATATTTAATTAACTGTGTTATTTTAAGTTCCTATTTTAGGTGATATATGAGAAACTTTATATTATGGTAAAACTGATCCAAAACATTATTGAAAGGTCCTAAATAAGAAAGTGCTATTACAAAGAAGAAATATAATTTAGAAAGGAAAATAAAGATAATTGAAATTAAAGCTCAGAAGCAAGAGGCTCACAGCTTTATTTTACTTTAAAATAATCCTGTCTGATTGTAGCTTAGCAAAACATTTTGAAACACGAATTCTTGCTGTGTCCTGAAAATTGTGTTTCGAGAATTAAATATTTTTATGGAAATGATTTTATTTAACTTTAAGCAATAACTAGGGATCACAATTAAGTTTTAATCCAAATGAAGGCTTGGTTCAAACATTAGGGAAGAATGTTTGATTAAAAAAACACAGCTAGTGAGACACGAGGGGAAAATCACATCCTTTTTGGAGATTAGTA